GATTTTGCTGAACCGCAATCAATTTCTGTCATCTTTTTCTGACTCCCCCCTGGCTGAGTCCTCATGCACACATATCCTCAAGCATTGTAGACAACTCACATCTGATCAGATGACACTCCTGGGGTCCACAATGCTTGGCGATTTCTGCAGGCCACCTGGCAACTCCCTTCCTCCTTTACTACTTAAGTTAGGTTGCAGACTCTCCCCTGTATCTGGGATGTCCTGGATCACCCTGTGTCTGTCTGCTCAGGATTATTTCTGATCATTTCTGATACATGAATAAGTATCCAGTTCTGTGTCTGCTTGGTTCAAATTTTGTTTCTCCTGCTTTCTAGTCATGTAACTTGGAGTGATTTTCCAAAACTTCCCTCTCCTAAAAGAGGACATAATGAGAGTGTCACTTGTTTGTAGAGCTGTGTAAAGAGTAGATGAGCTATAACAAGTGTTTGGTACCCAGAACACACTTGAGTGTGATCTGGGAATAAATGTGGTTATCAGTACAGTATTAATGTACCTCAGGAAGTGGAGTAAGTTGGGGTGGGTTTACATTACAGATCTCAGGTACACATGCATTATCCAATGTTGCACACTAATCTGTTTGAAGCACACTCCAGGATCACTCTCAGGACTGACCAGAAGCCTGTCAGTAAAGACTGCCTCTGACACCATAAGCTTGCTGTCCCCATGCCAATGCTGATGGCTGCTTCTGTCTCTCAAAGGATCAGAAAATGACATTTCTTACTAGTCACACAGCAGTGATCAATCACACTTGAGCCTCATGAATCCTGAGATGGCTTGTCAGCATCAGGAATGTGGCATGGTAGAAGGAGCAGTGAGTGGTCCAGGAAACAGAACCTCTGCTGTCCCTCTGCTGTGGGACTCCAGACTAGTCACTAGGCCACTGTGGGCCTGGGTTGCTTTGCACCTAATGAACATAAGCCCTCTCAGGAAAAATCACTAACAACTCTGCAAAAACACATAGAGTGCTTACCGTCTAGAGTGGACGATTCTCCCATCCTCGTGCCAGCCAGGCTCTTTCTTTGATTTGTGAATGCTACAGAGAGAGTCACAGAAACACTCAAACATGTTCACAAACACAATCATCCCTGCACTCAGCCCAAAGACAGGCTCTGGCAAATAATCATTGTTCGTTTGTATATTTGTTGAATGAGGCAAAAGTCACAGGGGGAAAAAGATTTTAGAGACAACAGAGCTGGTTTTCTATTAGGCTAGACAACTGACTAGCTTAGTGACCCTGGGCTGTGTGAACCTGTTGAAACCTCAGGAGGTTGTTTTCAGGATTGACTGTGATGTGGGTGTATGTGTGTTGTACATGCATGTACTTGTGCATGTGTACACACATTTCTGGTTATGTCTATCATCTGATAGGCATGTAAAAAGTGATAGCTGCTACTTATTTCCTACAGCCTGGTGCAAAGTAGTAGATTATGACTGAAGTATCCTAATGATTACAAACTAAAGTGTTTAGTAGGCACCAATGGATCATGCCTATCATCCTAGCTGCTGACACAGGACCGTCTATGAGACTTTTATCTCTTAATTAGCCACCACAAAGCCAGAAGTGGAGCTGTGGCTCAAGTGGTAGAGTATCAGCCTTGAAAAAAAAAAGGAGTTCAAAATGAAAAGCTAAGGAGAAAAAAACAAAAATCCCTGAGTTCAAGCCTCTAGTACTGACATATGCGCACACACACATACACACACACACACACACACACACACACACCCTTAAGTGCCAAAGTACATTTAAATACACCTTATCAGGCTGTGGATGGGCTCATGAGCAGATGGCAGCTGGGTAGCAAAGGGTTTTCCCTAAACCCTTGGTTTGTCCCCTTCCTCTCCCCCAGCCTTCCTAATTTAACCCTGGCTGCCTTTCATCCAGGACCAGCATTTGCTGATAGTCCTTGTGTGCTTCATGTCACTAGACAGTGAAGATGATGGTGGGTCACAGTAGGATGAGAGGAGGCTGAGAGAGTGGAGAACATGATCCCTCAGCCTCACCCTGACATGGCACAGAACCACTGTGGGATCATGTGCAGCTCATTCCTCCTGTGATCCCAATCTTCATCTGTCAAAAGCTCAACTCATCGGGACTAGAGGTAGCACTAGCTGAGAACTGCAGGTTTTAGTGTGCAGCTGACTTCAAGCCCTGGCCCCACACCTGACAGCTGTGAGATATGGGCAAGTCACACACCATCTCCAGGAAGTGAACAGTGAGACTCAGATGGGCTTATTTAGAGGATTAAGTGAGTCATTGTCTCCGAAGTACCCGGCAGGTCAGCACGCAGTGCGCTAAGGTTTATGTGCTCTTCTGTTCACTTAATTGAAGTTTCTCCATATTGAGGAAGCCCAAGTTTCTGGAATTTGAGACACATCAGCCCACCAAGCTGCTGCCTCAGCAGTTAGCAAGAACCAAAGTCATCTGCGGTGAAGACAGGATCCCCACAGAGAGTGAGTGATACCAGCCCACATGCAGTTATTTCAGTGCTTGGCCCGGGATCTTCTTCCCTAGCTGGAGCATGTCCTCAGGGAGACTCTTGGCCTCTTGCATCTTTCCCAAGGCACAGGACAGTCACTGAATCTTTCACACCCACCCTCCCTCCCTGAGATGTGAGCTTTATCAGACAATCCCCCTGGCTCCGTGGGCCCCATCTGCAACTGTAAGTGCTCAGGGCCTGCGTCTGTCCTCAGGGTAGCAGCAGCTCTCATGCTGGCCAGCAGGAGAAAGGAGGCAGGATACAAGTTGTATGTCCAGGGGATCTGTCTCTGAGCAGTGAGGAAAACAGAGAGCAACCCAGCCTTACAGGCATTGTGCTGATCATTCCTGCCTACTTCCATCAGGCTCAGTCATCCTCACCTTGACCTTAAGAAGATGAAACTCCAAGAAGAATGTGAGGAGCTGTCCAAGGACCCACAGTTAATGCAGCGCCTAGTTGGGGAGGGGAGAATTGGCATTGGGAGTGGTGGGTATACAGCCAGAATGAAGGGGTACTACCAATGTACATCTTCAGAAAAGAGATCAGAGAGATGGGGGCCTCAGACCCCTCACCTGCAGGCTCTGGGCCCTGCTGCAGACTTGGGAACAGAATGCGGCCGGACCAGGAAGTGACTGAGCTGTGGGCCCCTGTGTCTTTCCTCCATATCTTAGTTTGCATGAGCTGCTAGTACCATAAACTCAGTAGCTTATCATGAGCAGCCCTTTATTTCTTGCAGATCTGGAAGCTTATCTAGGAAGTCCTAGATCAAGGAGCCTGTCTTTGCCCAGGGCCTTTATACTGCTTCATCTCACGACAGAGGCAGAGGACAAGAGAGTACACAGAGAGGCTAGGGGAGCGGCAGGGAGAGAGCGTGGAGGACATACTCCCACCCTGCAGTGACAGCATCGCTCCGTGCCTGAGGCAGAGCCCTAGCACCTCAGTTCCTCTTAAACTCCTGCTACCTAACACACATGCGCTGTGGCTAATAACTATTAATTTTAATAATGAATGCCATTGTGTTACTATTCATAGTGATTATAGAAACCCCATAAGTGTTTGATTTTTTTTACCAAGTGTTTTTTTTTTTTTCTCTCCTATTCCTATCTTTCCAACCTGTGTCTCCAAGTCCTCATTTCTCAGCTGGGAATTGCAGCTGGCTCATAACCATCATCCTTCTGGTTTTGCCCTACCCATCCACAATACCACATTCTTCTCTGACCAGTCGGTGCCCTTCCCAAAAGCGAAGATCAGTGGTTTCACTCCTTAAAAATCTCCAGTGGCTAGGATCTGATTTTAAGCATGGACCTCCCAAGTCCTGGCTACCAACCCAGCTCCACCCTTAGGTAATCTCTCTCCCATTCTCTGTTCCATGTCTCCTGCTGCAGCGCAGTCCTGCCCATGAGTCTCCCCTCTCAGGAGCCTCCAACCATCTTTTAAGCCCTGGCACACCCATCCACAGCCCTGGTTCCTTCCTGCTCTTCCCTTTCTGTTCCCTCTAGCCACCTGTTTATGGACCAGAGTGTACCAAGGGCAGGCTCCAAGGGACCTGCCACTGGACACCTCCAGGCCAGATATACTATAGCTTTTTTTTTTTTTTTCAATGACTCCATGAGAGTGTCACTTAGAGCCCAGGTGGGAGACAGACACCATACTGTGAACAGAGCATGTGAATTTCAGGAATGTTAATGGGGCTATGGTGATCATTTGGTACCTAAGTGAAAGCAGAATAAGTAACTGCAGGAACCATTACCCCTGGACCTGGAGGAGCAGAGGGAAGAGGTGGGGATGATTAGAACTCACACCTCGGAACTTACCAGGAAGTAAAGAAGTCACAGTTTTAGGTTGAGATCAGAGGGTGATAAGGCACGTTCTAAGCGCTGCTGGAGCAAAGGCCACTCCTTGGGGGAAGACAAGAGGTCAGGTGATACTCGGAACAGGCAGCCACAGAGGAAGCAGTGTCTGCCCTCCATGGGAACCCTTGGGCTCCCTCTGCTCACCCTATTGGGACCACTAAGCAACTTCATGTCTGCAGTGTCCTGGCCTCTGCTTGACAATGCAGGGGTGGCATCAAGAAAGGGTATCTTGGTAACTGACACAGGCAGGAGCCTCAAGTGTTCCATTTCTCACAGGAGGGCATGAAGGCATAAAATAATTAACTTGCCTAAAATTAAAAGAATACCTGGCATGGAGGCAGAATGTCAACAAGGGCTGCAGAGCCCTTGTTATTAACCATCCTGCCATAAATATGGTATGGATGAGTGGATGGATGCATGGATGGATGGATGCATGGATTAATAGATTATGGCTGGCTGGATGGATGGAAGATTAGTGGATGGATAGATGATTAGTGGGTGGGAGGGTGGGTGGGTGGATGGATGGATGGATGGAATAAAGCATGGGTGGATGATGGGTAGAAGGACTGAGTATCAACAAGTCAGATGTCAAGCCACGGCTTCCTGAATGTACAGCCCTGCCTCCTGACGACCTCCTGGTCACCTCTAGGTCATCCACTGGAACTCCCCGAAGAAGCTGCGGGTGAAGAACAAGCACGTGGAGTTCTTCCGCAACCTCTATCTGACCTTCCTGGAGTATGACGGCAATCTCCTGCGGCGGGAGCTGTTCGGCTGCCCCAGTGAGGCTGATGTCAACAGCGAAAATGTAAGTGGCTCTCAAGTGAAGCAGATAGGGCAGACAGGGCAGGTGCTCAGGAGAATATTGGGGATCCAGACTCTGTCCTGAACTTTGGGGCTGGACCAGGATGAGCAGGATCGCTTGCCTGCCACAGTACACAGCACCCTCACAGTGTGTGCAGAAAGAGTGCAACTGGACCAGACTGGATGACTCCAAGTGAGTTCCAGGCAGCAGGAGCAAACCACCAAGAATCAGTGGACACAGTCCATCCCTGGATGGGAAATCTCCAGTCTGTGTAGAGATGGTGTCCACAGGGGCCGTAGAACTCAACCTGGTCAAGACTTGGATGGCACAGAAGGTGCCCTGGTGAGGCGAGAATTCCCAGGCACAGTTCAACTCCACTCTCTTCTCCTGTTTGTTTACTCTTTCTAATTCGTTCGTGTGGCTTCGTACATCTGTGTAGACAGAGACCTACTTTTGGAGTCAGGCTATGCAGTTTGCCCAGGGTCCCACAGCAAGCCACAGCACCGATTGTGGATTGTGACAGACACTCTACTCTAGGAAGAGGAGAAGCAGTACAGCAGCACCGTAGCAGCAAGGAGTGGGGTGTGTGCAGGCAGCCTGGCTGGGGTTCAGCGGGGAACCCTCAGACAACCTACTCCACCTCTCTATGCCTTGTGTGCTCACCTGTCAGGGGTGTATTACAAAAAAAAAAAAAAAAACTTCTATAGAGATATTTAAAGAATGGGCAAGAAATTGCATTAGACTTCCTAAGTAGCATCTTCCATAGATGCTGAGTAAGTACTTGCTGCCTGCTCTTGCCCTGACCTTTGGTATCCGACACGAGAATAAACTGGTTCATTCACTCAGTTGTTGAGCCTTTGTAGAAGACTTTCTACTCATTCTGAGCACAGAGTATTAGTAAATGAAAAGAAACCATTGTTCTTAGCTTTAAGTATCCTCCATGGTACTTTAACCTAGTAAAAAGAAGATACAGCTAATTAATAAATATATAAGTGATTGGGAAGAACTACCAGCTGTTTGCAGCTGCATAGCAATGTTAGTGAGAAGCTAGCAGCTAGGTGGGGAGTCGGGGTGTTGCTATGAGGAGGTAATATGTAGTCTGAAACCTGAATGACAAGAAAGCTAGCCATAGGAGAGCAAGGGAAGTACATTCCAGGGGGAGAAAGTAGCTTGTGCAAAGGCCCTGAGGCAGGACAGGTTGTGAGGAGAGAAGGATGACCAGGGTGACTGGGACTAAAGAAGAAGGTTGCTCTTAGGTACGTAGGAATCAGACTGGAAAGATCCATAACCTGTGTTAGAGAACCCGCTGTTAACTAGCATATAAGCTTTCAGAATTTGGACTTTCATCACAATTTTGGACATCCAAGAAGTCTCTGACTCCCAGGGGAGGCTGTCCATAGAAGGTCAGCGCTCACCTGGCCTTGGTGTCTGGTGACATGGCCACCCTTGCTCTTGAACCACAGTGGAGTTGTCTCTAGCTCTGACCCATCTCCTCGTCACCCTAGATGCCTTCTGGGAACCTCCCTGGGCTAAGGGTGATTGAGGGAACATAGCTGTAAGCACTGAACGCTTAGGATTTTGGGAATCTCTCAGAGGTTTCATATAGCAGACATGAAACTATATTTTCAGATAGTGATATTTTTCAGATGCTACATTTTCAGTTAGCACTGCGTTCCTTTGCACCTCGCTCAGTGCGTCTTGCTGACCAGATCAGTTCCGTGTCTGTCCTCATCCTTGGTACTCAAGAGCTCCCTCTGCATTTGTTTTCAAACGTGCAGGGAAACTGTTCTCTCATCCTCTCCCAGCTGGAGGCAGAATGAAAAGCCTTCCAGGAAGAGGCAGTGAGTGAGTCCTCCAGCTCCCTGGGTTCCCACGTGGCACTGCTAGGGGTCCCAGGGAGCCGGGATTCCCTCCATAAGGGCCTTGCTCAGTGGCTATGTCTGCCTCCCTTTCACAGGGGATGAATAGCTCTGGACCTACCTGTCTGCCAGCTCTCTGCCAGGGGCCTTGCAAGGAAATGGGGGTTGGCATTAGAGAATGACGCCATCCGTGTACGAAGCTGCCACTGAACAGCTCAGAGAGGCTGGGAGGACAGTCTCTCCAGGGCTTTCACGGTTGTGAACTGCAGGACGACACTAAGGCCTTGCCATGGTGTTCACCCCAGCCTTTCCCCCTGACCACACCCCACTCTCCCCTCCCAGGCTCACCCACTGTCTAGCACACCCTGATGTTAGATGCTTAACCATGTACAGTGTGGCCTCAGCAGTAACTTGCCCTGACTCCTACCAACGGTCAACCTTTTTACTTTTTATGACCCGCTCAATTCTCTTTTCATAAGAGCATGTGCCATGGCCTGCAATTACCTGGCTCCTGTATTTGTTTGCCTAGATTTCTCCCCAAACACTAGTCCAAAATGTAAGGCTTCCAGACTTGGTACTCTTCGCTGCTGAAATAAAACAAAGCACACCATTGATATTTATTGCCTAGTTTGTAGTTGAGCAAATGTAAGCAAGAAGAAAGGAGACAAGGTACGGGGAGGAGCATGAAGAGGGAAAGAACCAAGAGAAGCCACGCTGGTGGTTGATGTCCTAGAGCCTAGACGTGGTGGGGGCCAGGCGCGAACAAGGCTGCACAGAGGGCCTTTGTCCAGACTAGACGTTCAGGGCTTATCCGATAGGCAGTGAGGAGCCACCGAAGAGTTTGAAGCCCTGTTGGGTTTACATTTCAGAAAACTAATTGCAGAAGGGTTGAGGATGTAACTCTGGTAGAGCACTTGCCTGACACATAATAAGGCCCTGGGTTCAATCCCCAGCATCCAGCACCACCGGAAATAGAAAAGAAGAATCAGGAATAAAAATAGAATAGAAAGGACAAGACCGGAACAGGGAGAACTCTCAGAGGCTGTTGTCCCAGCTCAAGCAAAAAAATCCACAAATAGATAGATAGATAGATAGATAGATAGATAGATAGATAGATAGAGAGAGAGAGAGAGAGAGAGAGAGAGAGATAGAGATATATGTATCTACCTATATATATATATTATATAAAACACATATATATGAAATACATATAGATGTATACCAGTGGGGTTCTAAGGACAAGAAGAGGTATAAGTAGGGCTCGTTAATCAAGAGAGCAAATCCTGAGGCTCTGCTCCAGCCAGGTGCCTCTTCCTGGCTTTCTTAGCCTGCGGTGGTAGGAGCTGGACACAGACAGAGGCTGCGGGCCTGGCCCTGGTGGAAGCCCAGCTCTGCAGGAAGCGCCCGCACACAGCCCTTCTCAGCACGTCAAGGGCCATGCGCACATGCAGCCAGAGGGAGAGGGGACAGTCTCAGCTCCCGCCCCCAGCCAGATGCCCCAGGCTCTATGGGAAGGGGTCACTGGAGCAGGGATTTGTGCACAGATGGCAGGGAGTCCAGAAGAAGCAAGGCAGTCTACGCTCCTCTGGACCTCTGTTCCAGATGGGAACAGGCTCCCACGACAGCGTGCGCGGGTCCTCCGTCCATTGGGCAGAGTATCATTCAATATTCACCAGGAATAGTGACAAGGCAGGAGGCCCTGCAGCGCAAGGCCTGCCTCTCACAGCAGCCTGTCGCTGGAAGGATGCAGACGGGCACAAATGGACATGTCGTGGACGGTGACATGCCATGAGGGAGTGGGAGGGGGATTGCACAGGACCAGAGGCCAGAGATGCCTCCCAGAAGGCTTCCTGGAGGTGAGAAGTCTGGAAGGCAGCACTGATGGGAAGGACCGGAGGAGACCACCAGTAAACGGAGGCTTGGTGCATTTGGGAGAGTAGCAGGGGTGTGGAGAATGGCGGAAGGCTGCCCAATCTCATTGCTACGTTGTTGCCTGAGTGGGAGGTGATGGTGGCGACAGAGGGGTGGGCTGTCTGCGGGGGGATGACAATCATGTGACAGTCACGTGCCCTCACAGAGCCTTGAAACAGTCATGTGACCTCAGAGAAGGGCCCCCAAATGCTGTGAGACTCAGGTTTGACATCTTATTTGTAACTGGGACCCAGGGATGCATCTATCACAGTATTTCATGGATAATTTGTGTGAAATCTCTAAAAAAGAAGGATGCAGCTCCAAGACCACCATGTGCTGTGTGTGTGTGTGTGTGTGTGTGTGTGTGTGTGTGTGTGTGTGTGTGTCTGTGTGTGTGTGTGTCTGTGTGTGTGTGTGTCTGTGTCTGTGTGTGTGTGTGTGTGTCTTCATAAACCTTGATGCCCAATCTGTAAGGACGCAATCTTTCATGTTAGGTCTTATTAACCATTCTTCTAGGGAGGAGTGTCAGAGAAGCCCAACTTACAAATCTGTCAATGAAGTGTGAGAGGGTCTGTCCCCTTTGTTCCTAGCCATGCCCAGCTAGGAAGAGACTCACAGCAGAAAGAAGCTACTTGGCTGGTCTTGCTTCCAAAAACTCAAGTAGACAGTTGTGCTCTCCCCATTAGCAAGGCGCTGAGATGTGAGGAGCAAGGCCCATCTCAGAGCCTCTCAAATGAGATAGTTGGGTATGAAAGAAGGCCGGCTCCACCAGTGGTCTCCAAGGACAGTTTAAATGGGACACAGTTGCTCATGTGCTATAGTTTGTCTGAGCATCTGTCCTTGGGATCAGAGAGTTCTTTTACGTAGTACAGTAATCATTCAGCAAGCATTGCTTACCTTGTTGTTCATTATCTGAAGAAGGGACAGAGGTACAAATTCTGTGCAGTAGCATTTCTTTCCTTTTTTTCCTCAGCAGCCCATCTCTACCCTCAAGTGTACTCAGGACTCCTCAGAACATGGCTGATTAATCTTGCAGATTTTTCTCCCTCCTTGCCCATCTGGGAGTCATGTCGAAGCATGCCCAACAGGCTGGCATCTGGTTTCCCCTCCACCCTGGGAGGGCAGCTCCCTCTGCTGTTGACAAGCCCTAGATGCTAAGCTTTCTGCCTCATGCAGACTTGAAATTGTCTCCTCTGTAAGGAAGCTGCTAATCTTGATCGCAGTCCTCTGGAG